TATGATATAGGGGAGGAAGTAAGTTGAGGGGGAGGAGAGAGAGAAAGAAACAGGGTCTTATTGGCTGTGGTGTGAGGCATTTTAATTTTAAGATTAAAGCTTCTTATCAGAGACCTGAGGACTATAGGCAGCTTTTTGGGATGGGTGTTTTTTGGACTTGCATTTGAAACCCAAGCTGAGATGTCAGGTAGGCATTTGAGTATATGGGTCTGATTTTCAGAGAAGAGGTATCAGCGGGAGATATAAATATGGGAGACATCAGTACAAATATAAATTTACATCATGGAGTGGATGAGATAATGTAAGACAATCTAGAGTGAGAACAGGCTCAGGAGTTGACCTTGAGGCTCTCTAACATTGAGAGGCTGGAGAGAAGGAGTAGCAAAGGAGACTAATAAACAGTTGGCAAGAGGAAAACCAAGGGCATGTTGCATTGGGAGTAAGGAAGATGTTTCTGGGGTGAAGGAGGGCTCCGCTGTGCCAGTTGTTCCTTGAGATGTTAAGTAATGTAAGGAAAGTGTTTTCCTTCAGGCTTGGAATGTGGGAGTCTTTGGAAATTTTATAAGGGCAGATTTGGTGGAGTGGTGGCCAGATGATAATTGGAATGGACAGTTGAATAACGGGGGTTTGTAAGGAAGGGAGGATAGTAAGTAGAGACTGTAGATAATCCCTGTATTTCACGAAGGGACTGGAGCCCTGGGAGGGAATTTAAGGTGCTTTAGTCAGGGTTCTCCAGAGGGACAGAGCTGATAGACTGCTTATACACACACACTCAGGAGAAGCCATTCATCAGGGGAATTGGCTTACTTGATTATGGAGGCTGAGAAGTCCCGCAGTAAGATGTCTGGAGGACCAGAGAAGCTGCTAGTGTGGCTTTTGAACCAGGGCAGCTGATGGTGTAATGCTCAGTTCAAGGCAAAAAGCCAGAGAGTCTGGGACCGCTGGTTTGAGTCCCACAGTCTGCAGGCCAGAGATGGGATTGATGAGTAGCCAGGCTCCAGGGGAGAGCAGGGAAGATTTTCCCCTTCCTCTGCCTTTTTGCACAAGAGTTTGTTTGACTTTTTCAGTTTTAGATAGGATGTGATCTTAAGTTAAACAACATGAAATTGGTGATATTTGACTATTTTTTACCTGTAAGAATGGCAGTTGCATGTAGTTTGAGTGAATGGAACACATTGTACTACTGGGAATGAGTTGCTTAGAGAAGGGGAGCTTGATGGGGCAATATTGAGAGGGCTTAACCAAAAGAACAAAGAACAAACCTTTGAACGGTTGAGAGACATGGGATAGTGGGTCAGCAGAGGGCTGGCCCTTGAGGCGAGGAGAGGGGAAGGCATACATTTTCCCAACTGTAACAAGACAGAAGGAGATGTGCAGTCAGCCATGCTCGAGCGCTAACAGTATGTCCAGTGCCCAGCAGCTTGTGTTGTACTTGGGACAAACAATTATGTAGTAAGTTCATTTATTGATGGCTGGTAAACACTGGTAAACACTGATTGGTTTTGTTCATAGGGCTGAGTGAGTGCTGATCCTGTTCTGTTCTGTAGTAGACTCTAAATTCCTTCTCCCTGAAGTCTCTGATACTTGTGATTTTTTTTTTTGCGCAGTTTTTCTCTTTTGCTAAACGTGGAAGAAATAAAGTATTGTGACCTCCTTTCCTACCCCTCAGCGAAGTGAGCAGCAAATCGAAGAATAACGTGATTTTCTCACAAGTGACTCTTGTCCTACAGAAAGTTGTCTTTTTCAATATTACTGTTAGCATTCCTGCATAACTGAAGTGTTATCTATGATTTCTGTTTCTTCAGTGCAGACTCCAAGTGCACTCTTCCCTGTCATGTGCACGGAATTTGCTTACGAGGTGTGTGTCAAGAATCAGCTGTTTGGAGGGAGACTTTATTTCACTGCATAATACCGTCTTAAAAATGATTTTCATTAGACCATCATGTGGACATGTCTGTAGGCCGTAATTTTCCCCTCTGCACATAATTCAGTACAGAATTCCAGGTACTGATCATTAAATAGATTTTTAAGGCTGCAGTGAGAATGAAAGTCATCTTTAATGCCTACGGGATCCTTTTTCATGAAATGTCTCCTGTAATGTTTGTTTTGAATACTATTCTCATTGATGTGTTATGGGACCAAGACCATAGTGAAAGTGTTCCCAGGGGAGCCTTCTTCATACTCTGTGTGTGCTTGTTGAGCTATAGGCAACTTTGCTGTGTACATGGCTTCAAAGCGATCCTTTTCTCAAAGTACAGAAAAATGTGGGCACCCATGGATTAAGGTGGTAATATTATAGGCTAAAACATATAGCATTTTTTGAAAAATGCTGAGGCAATGGCATTTTAGGCTGGACTACGGTTTTATTTTATGGAAGTATGTGGCTTTACTACGGGCCAGATGAGTCTACACGTTCTAATAGTGCTTAGAATAAGAAGAACTTGATTCACTGTCACCTTATCTGGTAGAAGTTGCGTGTGTCACTGAAGTAGATATGTATCTTCAGTATTGGAATTTTTCAACAGAATCTGTCAGAAGTGATTTTAAAAAAGCTGTAGTCTATGGTGTTGGGATGAGCAAAGACAAATTTCCCCCTTATTTCACATAGCCTTTAATAGCTTGTCTGTTTAGGACAATATTGCAGTTGAATCAGTCGTGTGCCTGACTTTCAAATAGATTTAGGTTCTTTAGGTTGAACTTTGGGTTATGCAGTGATCCCTTTTGGTCTTTCCATGGAGAACCACTCACAACCAACGTCCATGTGTGTAGCATGGTGCCACTCAACAGCCTTGCTGATCTGGAATCTGCTGATGGTTCCACCAGCTTCTCAGTTCCAGCCCTGACAGAGTGTTGCGCTGATATTCCATTTGCTGTTGCTTTGGTGTTTCCAGTTTCAGGCTGATGTGTATCCCCACTCTTGGTTTTCACTAGGGGAAATGGGGCCTGTCTGGCAGGATGAGGTCTGTGCTAAACTTTGCACTTCCAGTTTCCGTATATGCTAATGAGCAGGCTGAAGAGTTCTTCTGTGTAGTTAACCCTCCCAGTAGTGATATGCCTTAAAGGATGACAGTTTTGAAGCCTAGGGGGCTATTTCTGTCCACGTGCCTGTGACTAGAGGGGCTGTGAGAGCACCTGGCAGGTCTGTGGAGGTGCAGCTGTCTGGTGTGCCTCTGCTCTTCCCCATCAGGGCCTTGGGGTGCTTGTCCCTATATTGTGACTCCCCCTTCCCCACCAAAAGATAATTTGCTGCTAATTTTGGTTCCTTTTTTTCTTAGTCTAATTTTTTTTGCCTTATCTCTTCACACTTCTGTCCATCCTGGCACAGTTTACTTACATGATCAGTCTTCTTTTGGTAGATTGCAGTCCTTGACTCCCCCCTCCCCCTTAAACTGAGCAAAAATTATGAGTACAATTCTTATATTTCCTGCCCTATCGCAAAATCAATGAGTATTCATAACAGGGTGAAAGAGAATGTAAATATCCATCCTGGCTTTTAACCACTCTGTTAGATGGCTTTCCATGTATTTTTTTTTTTCCCCCAAATGTATCATATGTACTATCTTTAAACTGCCTTTTCTCTACTTTATCTCCTGGAAATAACTTTCCTTACATTTCTATTTAAAAATTTTTGGTTCGGCGCCTGTGGCTCAAGTGGCTAAGGTGCCAGCCACATATACCTGAGCTGGTGGGTTCAAATCCAGCCCAGGCCTGCCAGACAACAATGACGGCTGCAACCAAAAAATAGCTGGGTGTTGTGGTGGGCGCCTGTAGTCCCAGATGCTTGGAAGGTGAAGGCAGGAGAATCACTTGAATCCAGGAGTTGGAGGTTGCTGTGAGCTGTGATGCCACGGAATTCTACCCAGGGCAAGAGCTTGAGGCTCTGTCTCAAAAAAAGAAAAAATAAATAAAAAAATAAAAATAAATAAAAATATTTATATTTCTAAATTTCTGGTGGCTGCAGACCATTTCCTGATAGAAATCTATCATTTGACCAGTCTTCTAGTTTTAGACATTTAGGTTCATTCTCTTCCTTTCTTTGCTTTCTGCCTCCTTGTTGTGATTTCTAGATAATGGGGGCCCAGAGTTGTTTGTTCACTGTCCATATAGTTATTTTTTAAGCCTTCGTGTACATTTTTTGTGTTATGAGGAATGGGTTGTTTGATAGTTATAACTTCACCTTGTATGTTCAGAGATAGGCCCGTGTCTATGCATGTGTCTTCCCAGTGTGTAGCATGGTGCTTGACATGGTGGGTGTTCATTAAAGAGCTGTTGCTGAGCTTTGGACATATGAGGGCTGATGGACAAACACATGAGTATTTCCTGTGTACTTGGGACCCAGGATATAGGGGTGAACAAGAGAGCTGAGTTCTAGAGAACAAGGTTAAGCCTCTTAGAAGATCAGTGGAGAAAACTAAGACACGCAGTATAGTGAAGGCTGATGGTGTGATTACTTGAGGGGTATTCGATGCTTTTGGCAAGTTAACAATTGACTGATTGATTTTTTTTCTATAGATAGTAGAATCCTTATGTAGGATTGCCCACTAGTGCTAATGGATTGAGATAGAATGATCCTTTTCAGATTCATACTTTCTGACCCTTATAACTCTGTTCAGTTATTCTTAAATTTGAAATTTCATACCTGAATATAATATGTTGTTATACTTAGTGATTCCAGAGACCCAAAGATCTTTAAGAACTGAAGTTTGAGGGGAATAGGAAATACATCTCAAAGTATTTTTGGTCCTTCTATTGCCTGTTTTAAAGTATGATTAAACAAAGATTGTAGCCATGGAGGAGATTTTCTGCTATAAATTGGTGTTTCAACCCTGCCAGCTGTTCATGCTTTCTGTGATCCCACTTATAAAAGTGGAAAGTGAAGGGTGAGTGGTTACCCTCTCAGGCAGTCACATAATTTAAAAAAAAAGAGAGAAAGAGATGTGTGTGCCTCAGCAGAGCTATATTAGTGTTTCATATTGCTGCTTTTTTCTTTTTTCTTGTAGGGCCAGCTCTCAATGTTGCAAGAAAAAATAGACCATTTGGAGCGTTTGCTAGCTGAGAATAATGAGATCATCTCAAATATTAGAGACTCGGTCATCAATTTGAGTGAGTCTGTGGAGGATGGTCCGAAAAGTTCACAAGGCAATTTCAGCCAAGGTGCTGGCGCCCATCTGCTGTCACAGTTATCCCTCTCAGTTGACCCTGCAGACTGTCAGTTTGCGTCACAAAGTGGAAGTCCGAATTCAGATGTTCAGGTAATGTATATATTCATTAGTAATTGCTGGGATTTTTTTGATTGTTTTTGGATTTGATCTGATATCTGTTCTAACTTGGTAAGTTGCTTAAATTCTTTAGATTACATTTTCTCTTTTTATAAAGTTTTAATTACTCATGTTGAACATTAATATTCTTTTTCATGATAAAATTCTGTAATTTTGTATTTCAGTTTTTCTTATACCTTTGTGAATACACCTTTTGTATGCATTTCAGGTCTTATTTTCTGTAATATTTGAAATCCCTTAGAGCTTTAAATTTTGCTTAAGAGATTTTCTTACCTTCCTTTGGAGAAGCAAGTAAAGCTCTGCTTTTGTTAAAGGTTTTATACAATGTCGGGTTAGTTTTTGTTTTTATTTTTGTTTTTTGTAAATAATCTTTTGTAAGGGGGAAGGGCAAGATTTTTAGCTATTGCCCACCTGTGGCTACTGAGCACTCGAAGTGTGACTAATTTGGTTTGAGGTGTGCTTTAAGTGTCGTGTACATACACAGATATTTCAGAACTAGTATGCAAAATATCTGAATGCATTTTTGCATTGATTACTTGTTGGGACAATATTTTAGATATATTTGGTTAAATAAAACTTCATTAAAATTAATTACCTCCTTTGTTTTATTAGAAAATTAAAATTGCACACTTAGATTGTGTTATATTTCTTTTGGACATTTCGCTGTTCTAGAGGGTAACGGAATTGAAAACCAGGGTCAGAAGAGGCTTTTGCCTTTCTTAAACTCAGAGCAAAACCACTCAAATTGGCTCTGCAGATTAAGGGAGGTCTGTGTTTAACTTTATGCCTTAGACCAGAAACTGAATCTTTGTAGGAAGATCCTAAGGGGTGAATATTTTAAAGTTGGACAAAATTAGTTGGCTTCTGGCCTTGCTTTAGGGTAGGCATTTTCCACTAACTCCTGATAAGAGAGAATATGATATGATTTGAGGCCATGGCTGGGAACAGAGGAGAGGCCAGGTCTTTCCTCTGCAACCTCATCAGCTCGTGTGTGGCCCGATTCCTATAGGATCAGAGTGCTGTACTTTGCAGAGAGAGCTGTTTCTGTGAGGCTTGGCTTTATTTAGGTCTTTAGTGAGTGCTTTTTAGGTATCCGGCTTTGACATCCATGCTAAGGGAACAGCTAAAAACATTTTTATTTTGTGGTCTAAATCTGGGCTGAACAGAAAGAAGTTGCAGAGCAACCATGGAAGGCAGGCGGAGTGAGGCAGGGGGAGCCTGGGAGTGCTGACGGGCCAAAGAAAGAACCAGAGGAGTAGCAAGACATCTTCCTGCCCAGCTGATTCCCGAGATTGCTTGGCTCATCCTTGGGAGGATTTTATTTTACTTATTATAGTCATAAATTCCATAATGAGATATTTATGTAACAGCCTTAAAATACTTTATATTGACTTTTATATAATTTGTTTGGTATTTAAAAATTTTTTGTTACCCATTTATATATTAATTAGGATATAATTTTTACAGCCTAATTTTGATGTAATTTAAATTTTACGAAGTAAAGGTTCTTTGTCACTTTTGGTGTTATAGTGACTATGAGAAGAATACAAGTAAAGTTTTATTTATTTTTTTCTCTTTTGGGTTTGAATAGATTATTAGCTAGAAGGCATACTGCATCGGAAAGCTAGACTACATTTAGATAGTTAAAAGCTAAATCTCAGTTTAATGCCTCCATTTTTAAATGATTATGCCGATAGTCGACCTTGTTGTAGTTTTGTTTTCAGAATAATACGCTGTGTGGAAGAATAGCCACCAATATGTTTTCATTCAGGGGTAGATTTAAAACAAAGATGTGGGATTAATTATAAAGACAACCCTGATAACATGCAAAGTTGTTTTCAGTACTATATTTGAAAATACTGAAATATTTGATCATCATCAAATTTTATCAGAAATTTTTCTGTTTTATTTCTATTGCGTTGGAAATAAAGTAGGAGAAGAAGTTGAGTGAAGTAATTTTTCATTAGAAGCAGATGGGGAGGAGGTTATTTATCAGGATAGTTCTGTAGCACAAGTAACATTTCAAGCATTTCAAGGGTGATTAAATATTTTCTGACTTAAATGTTTTAATTAATGTCTACAGAATAGTTTTATTTTATAACATATGCAGAGTATAGCAGTGAGTAACTTTGAGCAAATGGTTACCAATATTAAGTTTAAATTAATGGTTAAAGTTTAATTTTTTTCTTTTATATTTTTAGATGTTGGATGTTTATAGTCTACTTTCTTTTGACAATCCAGATGGTGGAGTTTGGAAGCAAGGCTTTGACATTGAGTATGAAACTAAAGAATGGGACACTGAACCCCTTCAAGTCTTTGTGGTGCCTCATTCCCATAATGACCCAGGTAAAATTTGCATTTCAGATAAACTAGAGGTTATGAAGCTCTTTTAAGGCCCAAAGGCTTTTAATGAGAGTCTGGTGGAGCCCACTTCTCAAACTTCTCAAATTTTGAAGACATTATTCTCTGGTTTTTAAAAGTAACACATTCCTTTTATGTGTCATATTGTTGTCCTTTTATAAAATTTTATGTGCCATTAAAGAAAGTCATTGTGCAGTATGAAATAGTAATAAACATGAAAAGGGTTTAGCTTGTACACTTTTAGAGTACTGATTGTTCGTTTTATTTATTTATTTTTTTAAAATAAGTCATATATGTATAGATAATGAATGCATTTATGCCTTTGTGGGATTCAGTGTGTTGATTATTTGTACAAATTGGAGTGCTTACATCCTACTAATAAACATCGCTTTCACCTCATTTACTTATCACAGTGTTAAGACATTTGTGTTCAATACTTGATAGATTTGACTTGTACCCTTGCAATATGCTCCATAGGTGTGGTCCCACTGTTAAACCTTCCTCTATCAAACCCTTCCCCCCTTCCCTCCTTCATCCTGGGCTATAGTTGTGATTCATCACTTATATGAAAGTGTGATTATAAATTGGTTTTATAGTAGTACTGAGTACATTGGATTTTTTTTTTCCATTCCCGAGATACTTTACTAAGAAGAATATTTTCCAGCTTTATTCATGTAAACATAAAAGAGGTAAAGTCTCCATCTTTTTTTAATGCTGCATAGTATTCCATGGTATACATATACCATAATTTTTTAATTCATTCATGGGTCAGTGGGTACTTGGGCTTCTTCCATGACTTGTAAATTATGAATTGAGCTGCAGTGAACAATCTGGTGTAAATATCTTTGTTTCCAAGTGATTTTTGGTCTTCTGGATATATACCTAGTAGAGGAATTGCAGGATCTAACAGCAGGTCTACTTTTAGATTCCCTGAGTATTCTCCATACTTCTTTCCAAAGGGGACATATTAGCTTGCACTTCCACCAGCAGTATAGAAGTGTTTCCTTTTTTCCACATCCACACCAACATCTGTAGTTTTGAGATTTTGTGATGTGAGCCACTCTTATAGGAGTTAAATGATATCTCAAAGTGGTTTAATTTGCATTTCTCTGATGATTAAAGATGATAAGCATTTTTCATGTGTCTGTAGGCCATGTGCCTATCTTCTTCAAAGAAGCTTTTGTTCAAGTTCCTTGCCCACAATGAAATGGGATTACTTATTCTTTTCTTATTAATAAGTTTGAGTTCTCTGTGGATTCTGATTATCAAACCTTTGTCAGAAGCATAACCTGCAAATATCCTCTCCTATTCTGAGGGCTGTCTGCTTGCTTTTCTTACTGTGTTCTTGACTGTGCAGAAGCTTTTTAGTTTGATCAGATCCCAGTAATGTATTTTTGATATTGTTTCAATTGCCCAGGGGGTCTTCCTCATAAAGTATTTTCCCACAATGAAGTGGGATCACTTGGTCTTTTCTTATTAATAAGTTTGAGGGCGGTGTCTGTGGCTCAAATGAGTAGGGCACTGGCCCCATATACCAGAGGTGGCAGATTTAAATCCGGCTCTGGCCAAAAAGAAAAAAAAGTTTGAGTTCTCTGTGAATTCTGTTTATTAGACCTTTGTTGGAAATATAACCTGCAAAAATCCTCTCCCATTCTGAGGGCTGTCTACTTGCTTTATTTACTGCGTTCTTGGCAGTGCAGAAGCTTTTTAGTTTGATTAGATCCCAGTAATGTATTTTTGATGTTGCTTCAATTGCCCAGGGAGGCCTCCACATAAAGTATTCTCCCAGGCCAATTTTTTCAAGTGTTTCTCCTGCATTCTCTAAGAATTTTTATAGTTTTATGTCTTAAGTTTCAGTCCTTTAACCAGTGAGAGTCAATTTTTGTTAGAGGAGAAATGTGTGGGTCCAGTTTCAGTCTTCTGTAAGTCATCAGTCAGTTCACCCAGCACCATTTGTTAAATAGGGAATCTTTCCCTCAATTTATATTTTTGATGGGCTTATCAAAGATCAAATGACAGTAAGTGTCTGGGTTCATCTCTTGGTTCTCAATTCTGTTCCATACATCTACCTCTCTGTTTTTGTGCCAATACCATACTGTTTTGATCACTATAGATTTACAGTATAGTCTGAAGTCTGGTAGCGTGATACCTCCTCATTTGTTTTTATTTCTGAGTAATGTCTTGGCTATTTGAGGTTTTTTGTTTCCATATTAAATGAAGTACTAATTTTTCCAGATCTTTAAAGTATGACAGAGGTACTTTTCATAGGGATTGCTCTAAATCTGTAGATTGCTTTGGGAAGTATAGACATTTTAACAATGTTGATTCTTCCCAGCCATGAGCATGGTATATTTTTCCATTTGTTAACGTCTTCAGCTATTTCTTTTTTCAGAGTTTCATAGTTCTCTTTATAGAGATCTTTCACTTCCTTGGTTAGATATACTCCCAGATATTTTTTATTTATTTATTTACTTTTTTGAGACAGAGTCTCACTACGTCACCCTTGGTAGAGTGCTCTGGCGTCACAGCTCACAGCAACCTCAAATTCTCAGGCTTGAGCAATTCTCTTGCCTCAGCCTGTGAAGTAGCTGAGACTACAGGTGCCTGCCACAACGCCCGGCTATTTTTTGTTGTTGTTGTTTAGTTGTCATTGTTTAGCAGGCTAAGGCCAGTTTTGAACCCACCAGCCCCCGTGTATGTGGCCGGTTCTCTAACCTCTGAGCTACGGGTGCTGAGCCTGATTGTTCATTTTAGTTACTTCTTGTAAATGATTGCATGAGCAAATCATTTCGTATTTATCAACTCTAAAAAAGGCAGAATGCTCATGGAAAAGTTTGAATCTTTACAATGGAGAAATATAAAGTGGTTTAAGAACCTTGGTGTTCATGGGTAACAGACAGACATGGATGAGAGTTCTAGCTCTTTCTGCCAGTATTAGTTAGATAACTTAAGGCAAGTTATTTAATCCTTCTGAGACTAGGTATTTTTCCCTGGTAGAATCAGGATAGTATCTGACAGGGTGAAATGTAAAGGAATCATGCTTGGACAAAAGGATCTGCTATCATAGTGCATGCTATTACTTTTTTTCATGTGATGGCTTTTATTTATTGTGGCCAGAGATCCGCCCCCCACCCCCCATAGTAAGGGGAAATTGCTACAGTTGAAATAGGACTTAAGATTTGCTTTTTAGTGTGAGTACACTGGCACTGGCACAGAGTGAATGCTCAGTGAATTGAGCTACAGCATTTTTTTGGTGGGAGGGGGGATGCATTTCCAAAGACTTCTTTTAAAGGAGTTAATTATGCTTCTGTTTGTTAACTTTTCTCAATATCTCAATTTCGTTCCTACTGTTGGAGGCACTATTCACCTAATAGTTGGAGCGATTTTTCTTTGCTTTCAACAGTCATTTATTTTCTTCTTACATTCTTTCCTACTAGTTTATGGGCAAGAAATCCTTTCTTTGTATTTCTAAGACACTGGAACATGTTACTTTAGATTTGGACACATGATTTAGCAAAGTGTTTTTATGTGTGTATGCTGCTTTTGGGGTGTGAGAAGTAGCTTGGGAGATAGTGCTTGGATGTTGAATTGTTAGACTTCCAGAATAATTAAATATCTAGTGTACTCAAATAGGAAATACATGAAGTCAGTGTTGTTCTGGGAATTTTGTGATGTGCATCTGCCACACGTCAATTTTGACTTGTCTCTCTGTCTTTAGTCTTAATGTCTCTATCTTTTCCTACAAATACCTGTTAGTCCAAGTTTTCCTTATGTATATTTTGGATCATCTTCCTTCTTGATCTAATCCTGTATCTTTCAAATCCAAACTCAGGACTGGCTGGGCATCATGAAAAGACTTCCGGGATTTGGAGTGAGGCAGAAGCAGGCCAGTATGTTGGTTCTGCTGTGTGCTGCCTGTGTGTCCTTGGGCACATTATGTAAAATAGAGATCATACAGGTGGAGCAGAATCTTAGGCAGGGGTTAGTCATAAAGCAAATATGAAAGGTGATGAAAATTACCTCTAATCCAGATCCGCTTCACTGTTTCTTCCGTTGAGTACCAGATTGATCAGCACAGTTGCGTTTAGGAATGGGTATGGAGAAGATATATCTTTGATTACTAGACTCACACTCATTGAGTTGGGGTGTGTTATATGTGGATATGTGGGACCTGAAACTACCTATGGGACTGCAGGCTTTTTTCTCTATACATCTTTTTTTTTTTTTGAGACAGAGCCTCAAGCTGTCCCCCTGGGTAGAGTGCAGTGGCATCACAGCTCACAACAACCTCCAACTCCTGGGCTCAAGCGAGTCTCCTGCCTCTGCCTCCCAAGTAGCTGGGACCACAGGTGCTCGCCACGCCTGGCTATTTTTTGGTTGCCATCATTGTTGTTTGGCGGGCCTTGGCTGGATTCGAACCCACCACCTTAGGGTTCGAATGTAGCTGGCGCCTTAGCCACTTGAGCCACAGGTGCCGAGCCTATAAATCTTTTTTTTTTTTTTTTGAGCCTATAAATCTTATAATTCACTCTAGAATATTCAATTATTGAGTGAAATGGTAGTATTTAAATTGTTCTGTCCTTTCTCTGTTGATTGTACATCATTTAATTCTTACCGCTTAATTGGGTGTGCGATGTGAGTCCATTTTATAATCTTCTTTGTGGGTTTATAAATATACTTCAAAGTGTATCTTGCAAGTCTTATATGAAGCCCACTTCTCCCCTCTTATTTCAAGACCTTTATTCTCCTTTTCCTTTTCTGTCATTTTTAATTCCCACAAGTCTCATTTCTTGATATTCTATATCATGGGCACTTTAATAATAAAATCTATGGTTTTAGAGGCACCAGGCAGGGTGCTTCTTTTTGTAATGAACATGCAATGCTTACAATAACCTTTGAGGTTAATGCCACGATTCATGATGAAGGTGTTTCCAACTTGCTAAGGTTACACAGGTGGTAAGAGCCCCCAGAATGTTTCCCTGACA